TATTGATTGAATCAACTACATATAAAACATAGCTCTAGAGTTTATACACTTATACAAAACATGGAACCAATACTGATTTTCCTTCATATCCTTTGTTCTTTTTTTGACAATATAGAACAATTCCAGACATGAGGACTCTTTGGTGGGGTTTTGAAAAGTAAGCATATATAAGAGTCAAAGGTCTTACTGAACAGAATTTTTGAACTGAATAAACTTTTCATAAACTTTTCATGGTTCAAGTAATAAAGCCAACTAATGTGATTAAAATTGACTATTTGCTACTAAATAAAGAGCGTTCATTGTTAATACAATACATTTAATTATTATATATTATTATTCCATCATATACATGCTAAAATTACTGTATGAGTTATTTCTTTTACTGTCTAAAAACCTGCTTGACCAAACGTTGGAATTACCTGTAGCAATAAAGGATTCTTTTTACTTTATTACTTTTATTTCAGCAAATTCATGGTTCCACAAAATATTCAATGTCTTTTTTTCTATATATTACAACCCCTCTTGCTTCAACAGAGTGACAGCAGAAAGGCAGCGATAATGTTTGATGTAATTCTATTATGTAATTGATGAAAAAGATATTATATCAGCAAGATTCTTTCATGATAAAAGAAAATGGGGGGTATGTGTATAAAACAAAAAAGAGGGAATTAATAAAGGTAAAACTTAGAAAAGTCTGTTACAAAAAACATTGTTATATATATAATAAAAAATGCAAAGAATAAAGTTCCATTGCTTTTTCTTAGTAAGGACTTTAAGGAAGTTAGGTCTCCTTCTCTCTCATTGGAAAAAAAACCATAATCTATGAATATAGACTTACTTTTCATTTTAAAACTAAAAACAAGTACATAATATATACATTAAATTAATATAATAAATAAGCTCCACCTCAAAAAGAAACAACATTAAAATGCTTCTGACTTGTCAAATTATTTGTAATAATGATCCAATGTGTGTAATTTATGTATAATGCAACACACTGTTAGGGGCCATTTTGCATAGTGAGTACTTTTCTTGTTATCTTTAAAGGTGTAACATTGAGGAGGATCTATTGTCAGAAATGGAATATAATATTCACACCTGAAAATATTAATCCTTGTGTTTTTGTTACCTTAGAATATCTACAGATGGAGCGGGTCACCTTCCATGGAGGCCGACATGTTTCTACAGTAGCACAGAAGGGACAAACTAAACACTGGCTCTAGATAGGGGCGTTTTTTGCACATTTCATGGCCACCATAGTTTCTCCTTTCACTTCCCTTTTACTTGGAAAGGAGAGGGTGAAGCGAGAGAGCTGCAACTACACCACTAGATGCGACTAAATCCTACACACTGGACCCTTAAAAGTTAAAAATCTAATTACTGGGTTGTTTAAAATTAGGCCAGCATGTAGGCTAATTTTGCATTATGGGACTCTTAAGTTGTTCATCTGTTGAAAATCATCTGCATAGAAACATTTAAGAAATTTAATTACTGGACATATACAATGCACAATGTGTCAATACATGGGCATGTGTTTCACCCCTGACAAGTGGCCCTGCAGACAATAAATAGTTAAAAGACAGAATTCAGTGACTCTCGTCTTGAGGATTATTTACACTTACAGGTCCACAGAGACTCACAAAACATGAGGCATGCACTGTAGCTACAGTATGTGCTCCACCCCCCTGGAAAACATGTGTTCTTTGACTTGGGGGATTAGATCTGTTAACTGCTTTACAAAGGTACACACACACACACACACACTATGTATGACTGAGGAACTCAACTTGACAACAGAGTAGGAAGCTTTAGGTTACAACTGCTCCTGGTGTTAGGTGATACCCAGATAACTTAAAGAGCAGAGGAGCCAGTGCAGTGTTTAGACATTTGAGCCCCACCGTATTAGGATACAGTACTTTATTAGATATGATATAGATGATGTAATTACAATGCACTTTTGCAATCTCTTGCTATCTTAATCTCATTGGGACTTCCCTGATTGAATAAAGCCTTCCATACATGCATCCAGAGTCCAGATTGCATAACCTGAGAGAAAGGGTAATATAACAAAAACACACAATTAAAAAACCCTATCAGCTATCTAAATGTTTGACTTCCACACTATTTTAAAAACCTCATGATACATGAACTCTTAAAGCCGAGCAGCGCCACCTGCTGGACACTTTGGAGACTTGCTGCACATATGTACACATCTGCATTTTGCCATTATCTGTATTTTTACTCTATTTTTCGACTAAACTCTGGTTGGTTTCTTACATTTTCTAGTCAGTAACTATATTTAGGTCTTCTAGCATCGCCAATGGTCGAAACTGCAATTCAGAAATGTACTTTGAACCCACATATGAAGTAATAAAATAAAACAAAAACACTGCAAATGGTTGAATGCACGTCCCAAAACACAAAAATAATATTGCTATATATTCACATATGACACAAATGTCATATCTCTAAAAAGATTTCCTAACGTTAGATGCCTTCATAGCGGTCTTTAATTATCGCGATGTAACTAGGCAACCGTCACCTCGGGTGGGCTGGATTTATAGACAGTAGCAACATCATTGACTCCCAGTAGAGTGACGCTACACTGGCCGGTGTACGCCTGACAGCAAACCGTGCGCACCCGCCCGTAGAGCCCCGCCCATTCAGCTAGCACCGCTACTGTAGCAACATAAGCTAACAGCTAGCTTACATCAGTTTAGGGCTGTGTTGGGGTCGGGGTATCATTAAACCCGTCCGCGTTTTATTCGTCATAAACATTAAAAACGCGGCCCGACCACTGACGGAGCTGGAGGGAACTCAAATCCAGGATGTGCTCGGTGGTCGGGTGTTATTCGGGGCGTCGCAGTGCGCAGCGGTTCAAGTTACCGGAGGACCCCGAGAGGAGACTGGAGTGGGTCCAGTTCCTCGCTACAGTCAACAAACAGCGATTTAAAGAATCGTCCTGGACTGACATTACGATTTGTAGCGAACACTTTGAAAAGGACTGTTTTGAAAAGCTGACAGCTGCTCAGCTAACGTTAAAGCCCAGTGCTGTCCCATCACTGTCAGACGACCCGGAGCCACATCTGGAGAGCCCAGGATGTGTGGTGAGTCTGAAACATAGGCTTTAACTAGACATCACCCAGTGCTGCATCCTTCCTATGCCATTATATATATCCTGGTGAATGTCTGCAGGTTATGCCCCACGTTTGATTTTAAAGCAGCCCATCCAGCAAAGGACAGTGGCTTGTAAGACTTCTCTTTACGTACCCACAAATGGGCCCGTAGTATTTGCACACTGACACTGAACTTGTGCTTGACTCCAGGGAGTAAAGATCATTAGGGAATGAACCACAGAATAGATGAAGACAACTATATAATTATACGTTTTGAGAGAAGTATTCTCCATCTAAATCCATCTGCTCATGAAAATTTAGAAATACCCAATGCTGACTGAAAAATAAGTGTGTGTAAGTGGACCGCCTGTCCATTAGTTCAATTCAAATGGCTTAACACAAACTATATCATCATAATAAACAATAACAATACAAAACATAAGCAGCACAAACAATAGAAAAGATTTGCTGTGTATTATTGTAAGTTGTTTGTACCTTATTTTTTCTGCCCAGTAAAATACGAATGACAACATACTCAACAGTAATTAAATACACATTTTAAATACAGTTAAGTGAAATACAACCCATCTCTGCTTGTAGAGCGCTGACGTGTGTGTAATATCCCATTTTTGACTTGTGTATACACCAAATGGTCCCACAGTGATTTTATGTTATAGATGTAGAAATGGATGGCAAAATAGGACATTTTTTAAAATATTGTATGTAAACAACAAGCTTGTACTTCTTTTAAATCTTTGTGTAGGAGCCTGTGGAAACCACATTAGTTTATGGTCAACTTGAAACACGTGATGGCCCAATGTCCTGTTGTGAAGAATCAGGACTGGCTTCAATGGGTAAAGAAAATGTCTGTATTTTGTGAGAATTGTGAAAATTATGTAAATTTGAGAATGTTCTCACATCAACAATAAACTTAAACTTCCTTGCAGATTCTGAAGGAAACCCAGTCCTAAGAGGCGTCTCGTGTTCAACTGATACTTCAGACGATGTTGTGTCCGTATACGGCCAGATGCATCCAAGAAATGTGAACACTGATTTGATCAGGGAAAAGTACGTTTTCTTTCAATTCGTGCCTTGTCTACTTTTTTACATCAGGTCGGTGTTTTAATATTATTTCTTTAAATTGGTCTTTAGAGCTGCACTTCTACAGAGGAAAGGGAAGTATGTTGTGAACGAAAAACGCCTCCTCCAGTTGTTTAGCTGCGAGTGTCCGTCATGTGGCTGTAAACTCAAGATGGAGAAGTTCACCTATGGGGTGCTCATCATCTTGAACCAACAGTGCCTTCAGTGTGAGTACAGGAACCAGTGGAAAAGCCAAGTCAACGCCAGCGTCCCAGATCAACACCCGAGGGGAGGCATAGATGTAACTCCAGAGACCCGGCAGGTAGGACTTAATACAACGTATTCAGATACGCTGATTGTAGCTTAAGAATTGTGCATCCAAGAAAATGTCTGTAAGAAAACCATAGAAACACAAAGTACACTGGTCGGTATTGTTTCTGTCATATGCTGTCATATTTTTGCTGTATGCTGGACAGATTGTATTTCTTCTAATTTTGATCTCTATCAATCTTTGTCATTGTATCACAGGAAGTGCCAACAGATGACACCTATAGCTGTATAACAGGGGTCTCTGAGATTGTTGCTGTTGTTGGTGAGGACATTGATCCCCTGGAAGAAATGGAGGAATCGAGTGATCCGGATGACATGGACTCAGACGAGGATTGGAAGCCAATGAAGAATATTTTGCTGCCTAGAGTGCTTCAAAAGGAAACAGATGGCAAAGGCATGAAAGAGGATGGCGCTTATCCCCCACTTCCCCCCAAACACAGTCAGCTCTGCACAGATTGTGGGATGTTTTTCAATAAACAGAAGCCTCACACGTGTGAACATATAATTAAACCCTTTTCTTGCAATTTCTGTGGGAAGAGATGTGTTAGTGAGGTCGCTCTAACATCTCACAGCAGAATCCACGATGAAAACTATGAGCACCCGTGCAAATACTGCCAAAGTACGTTCAAAACCAAGGTGGACAAACACACACATGAGCAGATTCATCTAAGTGAAGGAAAGCCCTATAAATGTCCCGACTGTCCAGAGACGTTCGCCACAAGTAAAGAACGCAGAATCCACCTGGAGGATCACAGAGGCCCCCAACAGTTAAAATGTGAAATCTGTGGCATCGAATTCCTCTGGCCACTTTCTCTCCAGAGACACTTAACCGTGCACACAGGAGCGAAGCCGTTCAAGTGCTCAGTGTGCCAACGTGGCTTCAAACAGGCAAGCCACCTGAAGTCCCACATGCGTCTGCACACAGGAGAGAGGCCTTACAAGTGTCAGCATTGTGACAAATGCTTCAATCACAACGTGAGCTTGAAGAGTCACGTACAGCGTTACCACTCGTCCAAATCTGGACGTGAACAGAAAACAGAAAAAAGAAAGGAAAAGGAAAGTGACGCTGCTGATGCTGAGGGTAACGGGAACAAGAGAGGTGCAGATTCAGGTAATGCAGAGGAAGAACATGATATGGAAGAGGAGGAACAGAAGGAGAGAATATATAGACCAAAAAAAAGAAAGAAAACCACAGGTCGACCCATAGGACGGCCAAAGAGTTATGAGTCAGACAACGTTGCTCTGGACGTTCAGGTGGAAGGTCAGTGTTCAAACAGAAAGGCTGAAAAACGACAGGCACAGAAGTCAAAGAAAACACAGCGCAGTGATGAATTTAGTGAGGACCAGCGTGATGAATTTAGTGAGGACCAGCCGAGTGACAGCGACATGTCCTTTGATTCAGCAGAGGAGGAAGAGGAGATGAGCGAGAAGGCGATAAAGAACACAGCGAGATCAAGGAACAGACCAAAAACATCCAATAGTGACTCAGACTTTGACCCAGAAGAAAGAAAGGAAAAGAGGAGCAGCAGCCAGAACAGTGGTAGAGGTTCAGGGAGGCGCAGAGGAAGACCAAGAAAAAATCTAGTGGTGTGAAGATTCTTTAAGAAATTGGTTAAAATAATATATAAAGTGGACATTTATACAGAACTGGACTGAGTTTTAGAGAAAATTACATAATGTGACAAAACATTAGCTTTTACTGTTAAGAGAAGCTGTTGGTTGGATTTGAAAGTACTTTTAAAATGTGTTACCTGATGTTTAAAGGATGAGATCATGTTGGATAAAAGTGTATTAAACAGGGCTGATCTTCCTTTCTGTTCTGTCAGTCACACACTCTGCTGAGAGGTTCATTTAATTCTGCAGACATCTGACAGCTCATCTTTTATACGGGTATAAAAGCATTGATTCTCAGTAGTGTTGGGGTGTGTATTTAACATTGTTGTGGGGCTGGAAAGTGAAATGAAAAATGTTCTCCTTTATGTTACTTAGTTATATTGGCTAAAGCTTGAAAGAGTCAGTTAATTAGTATTTTAAAAGGCACATTTTCTCACTCGGTCTTTCTACTTAGGTATAATGTACCATGTTTTGAGGTATGTGAGATATCTGTCTGATAAAGAGATGAATCTGGTTTGTAGTGTTCCCATCATTCTACAAAGCTTTGTTACATTTTAAAATTAAACTAATATATTTTCCAACAGTATCTCTCTCCCCTGAATAATCCACATACCTTCTTATGAACGTTTGTTTTAATGAGGTTGTCCCAAACAGTAGTAGTTTAGTAGCTGTCTCAGTCTCAGTGACCTTTTGTTAGAAAAATTGGCCTTTATGGGCTTCATTAATTAACGGAGCCCCGGAGTGGCCATAGAGAGAATATACATCATAGCCAGTTTTACTACATTGAGCGCTCCAAATGCTGTTTTGTGTGCATGAGATAAATCTATTGTCCCTATTAATCTGTTTGGCTTATAGAGTATGTTGATTCAGTAAATAATGTAGTTTAAACCCATACTTTGGTGCAGCATCAATGTACATTGCTATCAGTTTGTTATTATGATAAGTATTTCCATTCCCTGTGTAAGAATAGTTGCTCCTCTTCTGCCATTGTATTGATGCTGCACATAATGTGATGTTAGAGAGCCACCATGTGGTTAACTTGAGTATTGGCTTTTCTGTATTGTCATTTTATAGTATAACTCATTTAATATAGTGGTTCAACCCATATTAGTTTATTAATACTCTCTGTTGTTGTATAGGAAACCTGGTCTATAATTACCACCTAAAATATATGGTAGTTTTTCCCACCTACACAAACTGTTGACACCAGGGTTGTTTTGATGTACAATCCTGTCTGAGTTCATTCACACAGTGTCTGACAAAAGTGCTGCCTGTTATTTGCTAATTACATGAATACATCATTTAAATTATTCATTATAAAAGATGTCATAGCCACTCTCTAACTTTCTCTAACTAAAAACAAATATTAGTTAGAGAAACAGTTTCTTTTTTTTAAGGTAGATAAGTTGGTGTGTTTAAGTGGTTAGATATTTATTATTTTATTGGTTAAGTGACACACTAACAACCCTATCTAGATGGTTGTTTATGATGTTTTAGTTTTGCATGGCGAGAGTGAAAAAGTCAATAAAAGTAAGTAAGGAATAGGGAATATTTCACTCAGAATGCATAATATATGTGGCTGTCTCACCCTGTCTGTGGGCCAGTATCGATTGTTCTGTGGCTAATGTTAATTTTATATTGATCCTTACTGCCTGGGGTCAAGCAGCAGAAGTTAACTGACAATGTGCAAATACCACTGGCCCTTTTTGTTGTGAATATGCAAGTGTAGTCTCACATGTCACTGTTAATAACACAGGGCGTCTATCCTTTGCTGGATGTGCTGCTTTAAAATCAAATCTAGGACCTAAATGAAGATTACATCCGTTTCTCCAGTTCACCACTGACAGTAGCTGTTTGCTGTTGGCCTGTGGCACAGCATGAAGTTTCAAGGGAGAAAACTTTGGGCACTCCTGGTTAGTTTTCTTACACTATAATACGCAGGGATACGCCTAATCACAAACCACGCGAACCCTGACACTAAGCCCCGCCCACCCCGCTGTCAACACTGCCCGCCACTGCTGCAGACATACAGCTAGCCGTTAGCTCATGTGTGGGACGGTGGTCTGTCCTCAGCCCCCCTGAAACCGCAACGCTGTCCGGTTACTTTTAAAAACTGGACCCAAACCGGAGTCCAGGATGTGCTCGGTGGTCGGGTGTGAGTCGGGGAGTCGCGGGGTGCAGCGGTTCAAGTTACCGGAGGACCCCGAGAGGAGACTGGAGTGGGTCCAGTTCCTGTTCGATGTGAACGGACAGCGGCTCAGAGAATCGTCCTGGACTGATATCACCATCTGCTGTGAACACTTCAAGGTGAGACTAAAAATATGTGTGATTTTCTTTAGAGCTCAACCTCCGTACACTGAAGTTACACATTGCCACCTACACAGCAGATCCAAATAATGCTACAGACTGTTGACAACATATTTCCTGAGAGGTTTGTTTGTTTTGGTGCACAAACCTGTATGAGTGGGCGGAGTTCACTCACTTTTTTTTTCTAACTAAGTGCTTTAAATGGGTTTTAACTTCTTGTTGAATTAATACTTAATTTAAATGAATCATTGGGCAGAGCCACAGTACAAGCATATGTTGTTTTGGTGTTTTTAGGTATTAACAAACGAGGGTCTTATCAGAGTGATAATTATTTATTAGTTTATATTAATATATTTATAGTCATTGTTCCTTCATTCACTATAAAAGAGATCAGCAATAAGCAAGTATGTTAGTGTTTATATACCACATTTCCTTTTTACAAATAACTGAGTAATTAATTAATTAATGAATACTAAATGCAACATGTAGAGTACATTATATGATTCACATTGAAATATTTGTATTGCCCCCAGTTAAAGGTTGTTTGTGCTGAGAGGATGTTTATGTGTCTTTATTGACCCAGAACCCTGTAGTACTGTTGATGCTGTATAATGAGCACTTGCCATGTCCTCAGTATATAGATAATAACATAATAATGATAATAATAACTCAAGAGATGTGATACTGTGTTACCCCTCTGCTCACATTTACAGGCCTTTTGTGTCAGTGTACACACTAAACTTTCATTCATTTTCATATAAAATAAATAATGTATTAAGGTACTTTCAGTGTGTTTTGGTGTGTTCTGTGTAGCTTTTGTTACCACAAAACAAAGTGTTTTGCGTTACTCTGTGTAGGAGCCTGTGGAAACCCCAGAAGTTGACCCTCAGTGTGATCAACCTAAAACATGTGATAGTCCATCTTCCTGTTCTGATGAATCAGGACTGATTTCATTCGGTAAGAACCGTGATGTTGTTATAAATTAATAAAAACTGAGCGGCAAATGTTTTCTTTTTCTGTGAATAAAAAACTTTAAATGTACTTTGCAGCTGCCGGAGAAAGCCCAGTTACTTCAGATGGTTTCATGTCTGATTACGGTCAGATGCTACAAAATATTGTGAACATTGATATGATCAGAGAAAAGTAAGTTCATCTTCTGTAACAGTTGTCCTTTTATTGCACCAGACTTGCGTTTTAAACCTGCGTCTCATTATTTATTCATTTATTTTTGTTTGAATCATTTTTTTAGAGCTGCGCTTCTACAGATGAAAGGGAAGTACGTCGTGAATGAAAACCGACTCCTCCAGTTGTTCAGCCGCAAGTGTCCGTTATGTGGTTCTAAGGTAAAGATGGAGAAGTTCACCTATGGGGTGCTCATCATCTTGAACCAACAGTGCCTTCAGTGTGAGTACAGGAACCAGTGGAAAAGCCAAGTCAACGCCAGCGTCCCAGATCAACACTCGAGGGGAGGCATAGATGTAACTCCAGAGATGGAACAGGTAGGATGCTACAACGTATCCACTGCCAGCCTAACATCTTTTTAATTGAATTGTGCATCCGAGGAAGTTTTTAAACTAAAACCATACACAAATTACACCCATCAGCCATCAGTGAGCCATGAGTCATCCCGTCTCTGGGTCATTATTCATAACAATAATGCTTTTGATGAGTTATGTCTTTGTGAGCTCTGTGTGACACCAAAGAACATAAACATACACATCAGAAGCATTAAAGTGTTTCCTAAACTTCTGTCCAAACCGTCCGTATTACTCTTGTTTGTTCGTTTGCAAAAAGTCAGTGTGAACAGGAACCGGACCAGAACTAAAATGCAACAATTTATAATATTTTTCCCTTGCTCTGGAACAACTTAACCAAACTACAGGTGTGAATACAACCAATTCAAGTAAATTATCAAGCAAAAATAGTGAAAAAAATGCTACAATTTGTCCGCTTCTGGGAGGTTTTGCTGCTTCTGTTCATCATATATCATAGTAAACTGAATACGTTTTAGATGTTGGACATTTGAAGACTTCGCCTTGGACTATTGGCAGTGTGATCAGCATTTTTTTTTAACTTTTCGGAGACCAAATGATTAATCAATTAATTGAGAAAAAAATATGCAGATTGTTTAATAATGAAGAGAATTGTTATTTCGCAGCCCTACAAATAGGACGGTTAGTGTAATAAATCCTAATACTGTCTGTTCTTGCTCCTCTAGGGTTGTCTGGTTCCATATTAATCCTGTACAGACTTTCTTTTTCCTCATACTCATTCTTGTTATTGTGTCTTCCACAGACAGTGTCAACAGATGTCAACCACAGCACTACCAAGGGGGTCTCTGACATTGTTGCTGTTATTGTTGAGAAGAGCGACCCCACGGATGAAACGGAGGAATCGGGCGATGAAGGTGAAATGGATTCAGACGAGGATTGGAAGCCAACGAGTGAGAGTTTAATAGACAACGAGCTTCACAATGATGAATCTGATGAGGAAAGCGAAAGCGAAAACGATTATTATCTTCCATTTGCCCACAAACACAGTCAGCTCTGCACAGATTGTGGGATGTTTTTCAATAAACAGAAGCCTCACACGTGTGAACATATAATTAAACCCTTTTCTTGCAATATCTGTGGGAAGAGATGTGTTAGTGAGGTCGCTCTAAATTCTCACAGCAGGGTCCACGATGAAAACTATGAGCACCCGTGCAAATACTGCCACGTGACATTCAGAACCAAGGTGGACAAACGCACACATGAGCAGACTCACCTCATTGAGGGAAAGCCCTATAAATGTCCCGACTGTCCAGAGACATTCGCCACATACAAGGAATGCAGAATCCACCTGGAGGATCACAGAGGCCCCCAGCAGTCAAAGTGTGACATCTGTGGGATTGAATTTTACCGTGTCCTCGCTCTTCGGAGACACTTAGCCGTGCACACAGGAGCGAAGCCGTTCAAGTGCTCAGTGTGCCAACGT